GGCGCCGCGCAGCCTGCCCGCCGGCCTGGGCTCCCTGTGAGTGCGCGGGGCCCCTGCGGGCGCGGGTGCGGGTGAGATGCGGGGCGGTCCCGCTTGACGGGTGGCTTCTCTTTCTCCAGGAGCCTGGTGAACGGGACCTTCTCCGAAGTGAAGGACAGGATGTTTTCTCACCTGCCCTCCCTGCAGCTGCTGTAAGTACGGCACTAAAATAATATTAATAATAATAATAAAAAGGCAATTAGCACTTTGCCGGTTTCTCCCGGAGTTGCGGGTGCCCTTGGAAGCAGGGAGCTAACGGGTAAACCCCCAGCTCGGGCAGCCCTGCTGCTGGAGCTGCTGTTTCGTAACAGGGGGATGCATTTCCCACTCATAAACCACTCCATAAACCCTGTATGCAGTTACTGAAGGAGAACAAAGGTTTTCTGGTGTTCTTAAGTTCTTTTTCTTTAAGATTTCAGGTTTAATGGGTTTAGTTAACGACTCCAGTTTTTCCCCTGGAGTCATGTGGTGGTTGGGTCTCTCTTGCACTCGCTGTGTGCCCGTGAGTCCCACGTTGGCTTTGGGATGTTGCGGGCGTGACGGGGGAGCAGAGGTTGCCGGGACACACCTGGGAGGGAAACCTCTGCTTGTGAGGCACTGGTGTCTGCAGCATGACGCTGTGCTTCAGCATCCCACGTGCAGGGCAGCCCCTCGGATGCCTCCTGATGTGCTGGTGATGGACCTTCAGGTGGGAAGGACTTCTGTCCCACGGAGCAGCGATCCAGCCACGGGCACTCTGCAGTCCTGCCCTCCTCCTGACCTCGGGCAAATCGCTTGGTTGTGCCGGTGTTGCAGTCAGGTGTGTGCCTGCAGCTCCTGTAGCCAAAGTTGCTTTAACGCAGCTGTCCTGGGAGGCAGCAGCAGGGAAGGCACAGAGGCACAGCCTGCGCTTCCCTTCCTTTCCCTGGGGAGCCTGCAGGGAAGCCGTGCTGCTGCCTGTACCCTGCCTGGCCCAGTGCAGCCTGCCTGTAACACCAGTACCAGGAGCACCCCCTTGCCTCCCCCTGTGAGGGTGGGGTTACCCACAAAGCAAAGAGACACTGCAGTGAAAAGTTCAGCAAAAAGACACGAGGTGCGCCAGTGACCCGGGCTAAGGAGCTGCCGCGGGGCTAGATGTTAAATTTGGTCTTGGCAAGAGATAGTCCCTAAAAGCATTTGGTAGCATGATGGCCAGGCTCATCTCGTCGTGCACCCCCACCTCATCCTCAAAGGCCTGTCTCGCTGTCTGTGGGAAGCAGCACCCCATGGGGAGAAGACGGGGGGGGCGGAATCTGTCTTGTTTTGAATAGTGGTACCGGTAAGAGGGGTTATCCCATTCCCTTAGCTGTAGCAGATTTCCAGGAGGAGATATTAGGGGGTGGTGGGGCAGGTGTCGGTTGCTGAGAAAGTCAGAAGTTGACGACGTCACTTTATGTGGTAGATCAAATGTAGGAGTGAGAGAAGTTAGTCACTGCCACCACCTTGGGCCCTGACAAATTTCATTGGTTAGTGTAATTCGGGATTTTTCCCTTCAAACATGAGGGAAAAGAATGATTAAATAATAAAAGAAATACATGCATAATTAAGCACTTGGGTACCTCAGGACTATGTCTTCTGTAGCAGTAGCTATGGTAAAATTGTAATGCAAGAATTTACTTTTGATGGTGGTCTGCATCTTTGTAAGATTTCTTCGGGGTAATTAAAAGAGCATTTGTCTAGCATCAGCATAATAACTGATAATCACAGGGAAAGTTTGCATTTCATGTTCGTTAGTCTTCTAAATTTATTTTAGTAAAATGCCTGAAACCATACAAAAAAAGGATTAATAAATTACTCTGATAAATGGGATACTGCAGACATACTCAGTTACAGCAGAAAATTCTCAGATTTTCCCAAAATTATTTATTTTGGGGGACATTTGATTTTCAGAACAAATAAGAAGTTTTGCTGTTTTGTTATCTCTGTGCCTTTGAACATCAGCATTGGAAATCATTTGCTGTTGTGCTTTGGTGCAGCAAAGGAAGAGTTTTGCTGGCAGAGCCCTTCCTTAGTGCCCTTCTCCCTGACTGTCCTGTACTGGCTCAGGTGACAGCCATTCAGGTGACAGCTGTGAATCTTTTTGTCCCTGAAGTTCACATGGGAGGGCAAGGCAGTGCCTGGAGCACCACTGTCGACTCACTGCCTGTGGACACAGGGCTTTGCTTTGCAAGGATAGCAGGTCTCTCTCTGGTTGCTTGGACATGTCTGTGTATCCAGTTGATGAATCAGCTGCATGAGCCACATGCTGTCCTCCAGTGCCATAGGCCACAGCCCATCTGCAGGTCAGGCTTGGAGCATCCCTCTGGGAATGCAGAATGAGCAAGCCTTGACCCACTGCAAGTGCACCAAGGAGAGCTGGTGCTGGTGCTTGAGGGCTCAGGAGTGGTGCTGAGATGGTCACTAAAAAGTGTTAGTGTGGCTGGAGGGGTGGTGCACACCTGGGTTCCTCACTCAGCAGACCTGGCTCTTTAAAGATGCCTTGTCCTGCTCAGGGGACCAGATAGTCATGGGCTGGGTTGCATTTAAACAAGGTGAATGGCAGAGCAAGCATTTTTCCTGGGGAGTGGTGGGCATAAACTAGCATCACATTATGCCTTTGATTTATTTTTTTTAAATAGACCATTCCACAGTATTTTATGTGTGCTGCATTGATGGGGCAATATGGGCTTGAGTCAGTAAGATTAGTTTGGTCATGGGCAATAAACACAATGGGCATCATCCAGTGTGTCAAGTTTTAACGTGCTTTCCTAATGCCTGCTCTCCATTTTTCAGCTTGCTGAACTCCAACTCCTTGACTGTTATACGAGATGATGCCTTTGCTGGTCTCTTCCATCTAGAGTATCTGTAAGTTTGGTATTTTATGTCTTCCTTGTCCTTAATAAATCAAGATGTTTTGATAAGTTGGCAAGACTCCTGCTGTGGAGTCTTAGTCTTTACTGTGATCCCCACCAGCAGGGGAGATGGAAGATTTATGTTCTGCTCCTGTGCAAATGTTCTTTATGGTGGCTCACTCTTTTTCAGAAGTTGCAGTGGGTTTTTTAAATGTGCCATGAATACAAGGTGGCTCTCTGCAATTCTCTGCAATTACAGTACACCAAAAAGGCATTGCTTAGCAAGAGCTTGTCCTGCCTTTCCAGAACACTGCCATCACTGTTAGGGGGCTTTGAACCTCAGGAAAGAGGTGGGAAAGCCTCTTCTGGCCTCCTGACAGTCTGAAGGAGGAGTTGCAGAGTGTCCATCTACTGCCCAGAACAACCCTGATTACCAGACTGGTCTCTTCCCCCAGCTGTCTTCTCCACCTTCACCTCTTTTCTGATATCCCATTTAATGCCCATGGCTTTTATATTTAGATTATAAATAATTATAAATAAATTAATATATGACTATATTAATCCTATTTCAATTATTGATATTATTTTATTTTAAAACCCCAACTTTCCTTTCCTTAGTTCACTTAGTTGATTTTTACATTATCTTAATTTCCTGATTTTTTTTTTTAGGTCATTCTTTTGTCTTTATAAAAAAAAGTATTAGCCCTGTTACCAGGTTGTACTCCCTCCATACTCCAAAAGACTGTATTTCTGGACATGAGCTGGTTCTTCTGGCCTCCTGACAGTCTGAAGGAGGAGTTGCAGAGTGTCCATCTACTGCCCAGAACAACCCTGATTACCAGACTGGTCTCTTCCCCCAGCTGTCTTCTCCACCTTCACCTCTTTTCTGATATCCCATTTAATGCCCATGGCTTTTATATTTAGATTATAAATAATTATAAATAAATTAATATATGACTATATTAATCCTATTTCAATTATTGATATTATTTTATTTTAAAACCCCAACTTTCCTTTCCTTAGTTCACTTAGTTGATTTTTAACATTATCTTAATTTCCTGATTTTTTTTTTTAGGTCATTCTTTTGTCTTTATAAAAAAAAGTATTAGCCCTGTTACCAGGTTGTACTCCCTCCATACTCCAAAAGACTGTATTTCTGGACATGAGCTGGTATGTTTGAAACTCTGAATATGATCTCAAAAAAATTCCTCTTTCCACTCATCTTCATGTGCTGCAAGGTAGCTGTGGAAAACATTTTTTATCTTTGTCTAAAGGAAGACCAATGCTCAGAGAACTGCCTCTTGCTAAAGTCTTGCAAGCAAAAAGATACTAATGTTGAGTATATTCAGGATAAATAGTTTCATATGTGTGGAGCAGCCAACAGTGGAATTTGCAGACCAAGAAGCAGAGGATGGTAAATGGTATATGCTAAAATCCATTATTTGGCTGCGTCTGGATTTTTCAGAGATAGCAAGTTATGTAATCGTTCTCTCTGCTGTGTGTCTACAGTAAAAATGTAATATATTATATGTTTGTAAAAAAGAAGAAAAAAAATGTAATGTTTTTTATTAATTATTTGCTTTGAAGTGCTGATGAGCTTGTCCCAGCAGCACATGAAGTCATAGCAGTTGCTCTGGTGACTGCAGCCAGACCCCTGTCTGAAAGAAAGAAGTCCTGCCCCTCCTCAGCTGGTTAAAGGGAAAATCTCTGTCCCTGGTTGCCAGCTGCAAGCCAGGGAAAGCAATGAAGACTGGGAAGGCCTTACAAATTCCGTTTCCTTTAGAGTAGCTGAAAAAGTGGTCTTGATTAATGGTTGTGGTTGCCCTCTGTGCCATGTCCACAGAGCTCTTCCTCTTCCCAGCAAATGACATCTCCACCTTTTGGGAACTGGCTGCCAGCAGTCTTTTTCTGGGGCTTTTTATGGCCAAGCCAAACACCATTACACCAAACAGCTAGTAACACTGTTAGACACTCAGTAACTCATGTCTCTCAATTACGAGTCATCAGACCTTACAGAGAGTAAGAAAACTTAACTGACGAACAAGAATGACAAATTTATTTGTGTACAAAGCAAAGCCTCTGGATGAAGAGCAGGTAGGGAGCACCCACAGCAGATATCTGTACCTATACATACATATATGTGTACATGTATATATCTGCAGTTGTGTCCTACTGCATTTGCAGCACTGAAAATGTCATTCAGTGGACCCTTAAACTAACTGGCTCCATGTACAGCATCTGGATAAGACAGGTCTGATCAAGACAGGAGCTTTGCTGGTGAACAGAGGCGTTCTTAGGGTAGCATCCCTTTGAGGCCAGGTTTAGTGACTAAGGAGTCTGGCAAATTCCTGAGTCCCGGCCCAAATTTGCATCATCTTGCTGCAGTGTGTGCAGTGAAGCAGTCTTTTATTTGCATGGACCAGTGAGCTGGCACCATGCAGGGATGCCAGGTGCTGGTCAGGGTGTTGGGAGGCTGTTTGGCTCTCTGCTCTGCAAGTTGAATTCATGTCTGCAGGCAGCCTTGTAACAGCTGACCCTCTTCTGACATATTCCACTTTCTAACCTGCACCCTTTGCATGTAGCCAGGGTGCTGGTCACTTTGTGAGCAGTTTTGGCTAAGTCTAAACTGCAGAACCCAGAGAACTTGTCATCTGCATCCCCATCTTGATTCTTCTCTCAAAGAGACCTTTGCTAGACTGATGTGTAGGAGGAAGTGAGACACTTTTATCTCATAAAGCCTTGTATAAAGTCAGCATGCAGTTGTCTTCATCCAGATACAGCTGTACCGTGCAATATCTTGATGGCCACCTGGCTGCAGTCGCTTTGCAGGGCTGATGTTGTATTTAGGGATATGTCCTCAAGTGCTCAGGGGTCAAGATCCTCAAATATCAGCTCTTTCTTTAAATGCTGGCATGCAGTCAGGATGAGCAGCACCCGGCTGGAATCAATAAGTGCCTGTCATTCTTCCCCCAGTGCTTGGGGCTGTGACTTGTGTGCAGCTGGGCACCCTGCAGAGGTAGCATCCCAGAGAGAGTGAAGAGAGTGAGGCTGCAGCAGCAGGAAGGAAAACAAGGCAGCAGTCCTGCCATTCCTTCAGGTGTCTGCAGTTCATGTCAGGGCTCTGTGGGTTCAGAGGTGGCACTGTGTGTGCAGCCATGGGAGCTTACTCCCCATCAGTGTGTCTGTCTGCAGACAGAGCAGCACTGGCACCATCGTACTGCCCTGGGGGTTTAAAATGCAGGTGGTTTGTGAGAGAAAGGTAGGACTTTAGCTTCCAAAGTCCATCTCTGAAGCCTCTCCCATGCAGGTCTCTTGCCTTACACAACACACCCCAGGCGGATTAACTGACAGAGGAGTAACGGGTTTTGCTTGTGCGCTTTGTTCCTCTTCTGCTGGATGTTTGTGTCACATGCTGTTCCTCATGCTGCCTGGTACCTGCATCCCTCCTTGCCATCCACCCAAGGAAAGGGCAAGAGGGAATGTGAGCAGAGGTACCAAGACTTCCCCACCTGTAAGTCTGAAGGAGCTGCCCAGGAACCTGCTGAAATAACTTAAAGCACTGGTGATGCAAATAATAACGTTAGCTGAAGTCTTTTAAAATACTTTTTAAATTTTTTTTCCCTCTAGATTCATTGAAGGAAACAAAATTGAAACTATTTCAAGAAATGCATTTCGTGGCCTTCGAGACCTGACTCACCTGTAAGTTGCAGAGTAATTTGTACCTGAATAGACCTCTTCTGGGGGACCACTGGTTTTCCTGCTACAGAGAAAACCTCTCTTCCCCTCTGTGCATCAGCTTCCTCCTGCTGCCAACCACATGCCTTCCACAAATTAGAAACTGCCCTTAAAAACCTGCCTGCTCAGCAGCCCTGTGGCCTGTTGGGCTGCCCGCGCGCACCGGCAGCTGCGCCGACACACCACGTGCTCCTGGTTCTTCTCAGTGTGCTCAGTGATTGCTTGGTGTGCTACACTGGCACCTGAGCAATAAAAAAGCTTTGTGTATTTTTACTTTTACATGAGCTTCAAGCAGTCTCCATTCTTGAATTAGAATAATTAGGATGTGCCTGTTCCTCATAACTGTTAACAATGCCAGTGGCTGGACTGTACCAGATAATGAATAACCTGTAAGTGAGCTCAGACATAATTAGAGTCAGCCAGACAAGAGACAGCAATGACACTAAGCTCTAACTTTCTTTTCTAGTTCTTTAGCCAATAACCATCTCAAAGCTCTGCCAAGGGATGTCTTCAGTGATTTAGATTCTTTAATTGAACTGTAAGTAATGAGAATCTTTCTATTGACTGCCTGCTTCTGTCACTCTGATACTCTTGAGTTTTACGTTCTGGGTTTGTATGGAGCTGTGTCTGATACCTGCACAGAAAAGAAATGTGCATTTTATTGTTCTAGCTTCTCTCATTTAAAAATTGTTGACTTGGTAGATTTGTCTAAAATAACTGCTATTTCTCAAATGACTGTTGCTTCTCATGATGCTGTATGTAGTTTGCATTATTGTACTTTTTCTGGTGTTTCATATAAGTTATCTTTGTAGGCAAAAG